CTCATCCAGAAAATCACCACTTTTCACAGTTTAGCGACCAGAATAATTTCCTCAATGGCTTATTTGGCAACTCTGTGAGTCTAAATTTCACGAAACGTAGAAATATTTGTTTCCTATTCTCATGAGAATTACCCATAGATTGGAGGATTCTTCATCGAAGCAGGAGCGTACGATGGAGAGGCTCTTTCTAATACCCTTTGGCTTGAAAGGGAGAGAAACTGGACGGGACTCCTGATCGAACCTGACTTAATAAATTTAGCCAGTGTGAAAGGGAAGCAGAGAAAGGCATGGTTGGCTCATTCCTGTCTCAGTCCTGTCCCATATCCGCAAAAGGTCAGGGTTGGAAGAGACAAATCCCTCTTCATTTTCCTTTCCTATCATGGTATTATTTCTTGTGTATCCAGATGTCTTTGGAGAGAGGGGACTATGGCGGTAAGATGGTGCCTGAAAAGGAAGGAAACGATAAAGGACAAAATCTATTTTGTTACCCATTGGAATCACTCCTCAGAGCCATTGGCCAATTGCAGGTAGATTTCTTCAGTCTGGACATTGAAGGGCTGGATTACGAAGTTCTAGCCAGCATCCCTTGGCATGTCCTCGACATAAAGGTATGGAATCTTGCCAAGTGAAGACTATTCGGTGGATGGTTTCCGCAGCACCGATCACTTTCTCTCCCTAACGAAGGTCCTAATGGTGGAATCTAACAAGGGTTCAAGAGACAAGATTTTGAAGTTCATGGCGGAGAAGGGATATCGACATACGAAGGCCTTGACAATTGATGACATTTTTGAGAGACCGTAGAATTGCAATCTTTTTAAGGAGATCTCCTGTAGGAGATGCCTGGGCAAGCCGGAGTGACATACATTATATTTGAAATTATGTGTAATAAATCATTATTTGACTCATGCTCGTATCCACACAGCTTGCACTTTATCTTTCCTAGAGGAATACATTTTGCCTAAAAATTGGTGAACATGGCGAGATAGTTGGAATTTTTTCGCAACTCTATTTGTGATATTTCCCAATGGGTAATTTTCTTTATACATTTGTTAAAAACCAATTGAACCTGATACAGGCACAGATACGCATATATACAGGGTGTTCCGGAATTGCCTAGACATAGATCCTTCCACCTATCCAATGTTCTAGAAAGGCCTCTGCTATATAGCTTAGCGCACAAGTACAAGAAAATGCCTCGAGAAAATGCCAGATAAGTATTAATAGGCTTGGTAGCGTCTATTACGTTTCTTCAACCCCTTTCCGCCACAAAATTCAACCTCCTCGTATTCCTCTCTGAGAGCATCAACAGCAAAGATATTTGGCACGCTTCTTCCTCTCAACATAAAATATTGTTCAATAGTTCTCGCAAATTTGAAGTTCCATTTCCCCACAGTTGCGGAGAACACTGAATCTCGCTTTTGAAGGATGTTGCATTCATTGCGGTTTTTTTTATCCCCTACCCTTCCCTTGGGTAGTTACTCCTGGGGGGGGGGGGTAATCTATCGGGAAAGCCCTTCCTGCGATGACGTCACAACGGTGTGATGACTAAGCCCCGCCCCCCTCTTTAATGAGGATGTCTGTCGAGCAGGGCCTGCATCAGCACTCAAGAGTACCAAGATGACTCACAAGTTCCTTCTCCCGTACCCGGACCTCGGAAGAGGGAATACATGTTTAGAAGAATTCTCTTCCATTAAGGATTGAGAAAGTACAAGATTTATGGAGCTGGGAGTCTACTCTTCCCTAATCCCGTGCACTGCTGCAATAACAAGCTTAGCTTAAGCATTTAATAATTCCCTGAGTCATATATTATTTAAAATATGTAATAATTTCCTGTTTTCCATATATATATTCATGGATTGCATAATAAAAAGTGAAAGGATGATAAGAAAACCTGATACTATATCGGGAAAGCCAGTACTTAATAGCATGTGTATAATGCAGGGAACAAGGGTTCCATTTAGTGAGGAATCTTGGTACTGTAACTGCGGGATGGTTAGCTAAAGTTTCATTTGGATTGTGTGGTGTTAAGTTTGCACAAACTTGATATCATGTACTTCACGTCAAATGGAGTGACGTCTGGTTTATGTAAAATATACGTACACTTTGGTGACGTAAATATGGAACGTAAATTTTACGTAAACGTGTTGTCATTTTCATGGCAATCGCAAGAAATGTACATTGTTTGCAAAGAATTGATACCTTGTTTACCTAAACATGCTGCTTGGGTCATTTGAGTACTCTTGAGTGCTGGTGAGGATGAGTATTCGTGTACTCGTCCAACCACCCTAGAGTTCTGAAGAATGGAAAGAAATGGGAGATACAGTATCAATTCTCTTCAAAGGTACTGATTGGCTCATTAAATACATGTGAATGCTAAGGGAAAATTAATATAAATCTTATGTAAAATGAATGTAAACATGCTGTTTGGAATGCAAGCGGGAATGTCAATTTTACGAAAAATTATAGGCTTCGCAACCGAGGTCCTCCAGTTTGCATCACTTGTTACAATGCCTACTAAAGGACACATCTTTTTTTCAGGATATGAATTGTCCCACCATATTTCCAGAATTTCTGAGGGGAGATCTGCGAGTATGTAATGGCAGATAAACAATCACAAATAATAAGATACGTCCGTAGTACATTCACAGCCCCACTTGTCCCATGCCAAACTGCGCCAATTACATCCGGAATCAGGGAGTACACGTCATACTCCGAATGATCATTTGATACTGACGATGTAGGTGCGTCCAATTCAAATGGGACAACTTTAGTGCATAACCGCGAAACGCCGTTATGAATTTAGCGCAATTTTCAAGTTTTTTATGTATATTTTGCTCCTACTACGCTGAATTATATCCCTTGGGGAAATCACTGTGTTCTTTGAAGGTTTACTGTCAAAATATATTTTGTTGTTATTTCTAGAGAGGCCAATATTATGTATTCCTAGCAATTCAATTCTATTGCATAAGGCGAGAAGGATCGGCAAAACTAAATTATGCCATAAGTAGTACCATTCCCGTTATTCCTCTGATTCACTAAAATATACATAAAATATTACAGCAGGTCATTTGTTCCAGTGCATATGAAAGTGTACCACTTGCAGCGATCCCCAATGGCATTTCATTTCGTAATGAAGCGAGAATGCCCAAAATATTATTTTCATTGTAGTCGATGTCATGTTCTTCAAGCAAATTTGTGAGAGGCCCCGAAATTCTGGATAAAATAGGATGGATGAATGCGTTCCGAATGTGCAGGATAGTTTTACGAGTAAAGCCCTGTGAGTGATTCACGGTGCTGTTGTGACCAAAGTAGACGGAATTTGATCATTAAAATTGCGATCTGCACAGGCAATGGCATGAGAAGACCATTACAAAAAACTCGATATATGTTGAAAAAGCATAATAGATCAGGAGGGCATAAAATACGGCCCGCGGCCCGCCGTGAACGTGGCGTTAGAAGTGCTACTACTATGGAACCATCCAGTACACGCTACATAGTATACCTCGTAAAAGCAGACCACTAGGCATGAACCCAAATTCTGAGGTAGTAGAGCAGGAAAAGTGATGACTTCACAGCATTGGCTTCGTCGGGCATTTCAAGGGGGGGGAGGGACATTGCGCCCATCAGTGTGGAATGCCTTTGGATTCTTTCTGCTTGACTGCATCCCAGGCTCCATGCAACGCTCATAGTTCCCCGAATTGGTGGTAGTTGTACCATGAGGAAGTGCAACATCGAGGACGTTTCACTGGCACTATCCTGAGGTGATGAGCCTTCTCAACCCCTCGTGACGTAGTCGGCTAGATTAAAGACTGAGAACTCAAAATGTAACTTAATCGACATCTATAACTGTTAAAGAATAACTATTGCTTGGAGACGTAATGCAAGGTGTCCAGGCCTGTTGAACTCGGACTTACCCTTCATGCACTTTAGTACAATGAAATAGTTTCCTTACTCCATCATTCGCTTACTTGCCATCGGTACTGTATCATGGCTTCGAAGAAAAGATAAAAACTAAGCCTCAGTAGTGTCATGACAGGGATTAAAGCCATGATGGTGGAGTTAATGCAAGCTATGAAAGGCATAAAAAAAAGATGGAAAACATTGTGCCAAGGCAGGACGAGTTGGAGAAAGGGATGGAAGATCGCAGAGAGTTGGAAGAAGAGAATAACTCCACTATCAATCGACAGGAGAGAGAAATGGAGGAACTCAGGGACGAACTGGATCAGATGCATATGAAGAAAGAATGCAAATATGTATTGGTTACAAGAAATGGGGAAGGAATAGGACCCACAGAAGGTTGCGAAGGACTCTTTCTCAAAAGACTTTCATTTCTCGCCCAATAAGACATTATATGGGCATTCGATTCAGGAAGCCGGATTCAGATTGGCGAAAGGGAAAGACAGGACCAGAATAGAGGATAGATATTTCTTTTCCGGCCTTTTTTATGGTTCCATCTTTCCCTTTCTCAAGAGGAAGGAAGGTGAAGGAGGATAGAGAGGCATTGAAAGTGTATCTGTCTTCATAGTCAACAAAGGCAAAGGTGTTGACGATTTACCATGCTGCTTTTCAAAGATAATCTGAAAAGCACTTCATCTGGACTGCATTCGTAAATCTCGGATAAGGACACGATATGCAGTTTTATCACTCTGGCAAAGTCAAGGTTCAAAGCTAGGGTTGGGAAACGAGAAGCATTTCACCTTCCATCCTGCGTGAATCAAGAAAGAGCAGACACTCCAACGCCTTGTCAATTGTCAAATTGCCTTGTCAAATAATGACAATTACTATAATCAGGATAAGGGAGGAACAAGACGCATGACAACTTTACCGTGTGTGAAAAGTCAAAATGCTTTACAAATGTGAAGAATAAGTATCATACCTATATTGATTTCATCGGGGGCATGCGCTTGCGCACACATGATACACTCGCGCATTGCGCGATTGCACGTCCTCTCTCATAGCCATAGTAATAGGATCACACCATAGAGAGTATATAATGGAGAGGCCTCCCCTACCGTGTGGGCCGGCGAGTCTCTCCAGGCACCCCCACAATCTTAGGACTGGAGTCGCACGAGGGAGTTAATAGCAGGCCCATAGAGAAAGGAGAGTAAAATATGCATTTGGCCCCGGGGCCTCATTTACAGGGTCCACTCACGCTGGCATCCACCACAATCAGGCTTTCCCCTGCCTCGTGCGACACCAATCCTACGATAGCTTAGCCGCCCTATAACTTGAAAAATGAGCAAGAAAACGAATGTATATTGTGCTTTTAAAAGAAATTCACCAGACAGACCTCCAAATAAGGAACGGCTCCACCTTCGTCCGACGAGAAGCTCAAAAGGAGTAAAGGAGATCTCCTGTCCACTCTGCGCAACTCCAACGATCGTCGATACTCCCCAGCCTTTACGCAGTGACTCCAGCTCCGCCCTCTATTTGGGGAATTTGGATAATTATTGAATGAATGGAATATGGGCTCAGATTTATTGAAGCACTTAAATAAGGAATTAAGGAAACACTTGTTTGAAAGTGATGAAATAAATATTGAATATACGCAAGTTTCTTTCCTGTTTGCATAATTTTGCCGCCGTATTGGTATATTTGACCTGAATGAATTCTCCACAGGAGGACTTACCATTGTCGGAACGTTTCCTATGCACTTGAAGGTATAGTCCAATCCACCTTCTGTCATTTCTGAAAGGACTTCTGAATTGGGTGATCTTCATGATTCTTTGGGTTAACAAACTCCGCGCACCCGAACTTTTCTCCTTTATATATATGACGGTATTTCTATGAAATAGGGTAGATTGATGATGAAGACGATGGGTGACAATTCGAATAAGCTAAATCCGAATCCGAATAAGCGGAAGTAATCTGATCTCACAATGGTCCCCTATGTAAATCAATTAAACGGAGATAAAATTATTCAAAAAACGCCCTTTACGAAAATGAATCAGTTTTAAGTTAATAGAATCTGGTGCATGTCACCCAATAAGCAATTGCTCTAAGTAAATAATGTCCGTTCCACGTCGACGCGAAAAATCAAGGAAATTAGGAAAAAATGTTTCACTTTCACTCGCGAACACATCGCATAACGAACGCACCGCTGGAACGAATTGCGTTCGTTATGCGAGGTACCACTGTACATGCAGTCAAGAAAGGATCTTGACGCATCAAACTAATGCGATCAGACTTGTGTTTGAAATAGAAATTTGAAGTGCTACTTTTCGAGAGCTACTTAATCGAGAAAGTCACTGTTATGATGATATTAAATTATGCGTTCCACTTTTCAGTGTCACACCGACATGGAATTTCTCAGGGTTGATATCAATGCCGATTGTGCGTTTATCTTTGGCTTTCCAGACTCCCATAACAGCCAGAAGGCATATGGTTCCCAATCCCCAGGCTGCCACCGATGAGCCCTCCACCACTTTCCCTATGTTTCAGACAGACCCATACCCTGTCGGGATCCCGCAGCCAATGAAACACACCCGATCCAGGCAGGCCGATGGGTTCACCTACAATAGGGGGTAAAGAAGCGATATTTTAAGGAAAGAACTTTCTTCGGAAGTTCATGAGTTACGAATTCCCAGTATCCATCTCCAAGAAGGTTAATGTGAAACCATGATTTGATCATTAGTTCATTTACTGGTTGAGGCATGCATGGGTGACATGGTGTTTCTCATCTGACATCCATCACGTGTGGAAGGTTCTTCCACCAATATTATATTAGCTCATATATTATTTCACACTTTTGCATCAATCGAAAACCGCGGGCAAAGTGGCAGAGTGTTGGAAATGGAAGCGATCATCTGGAGTTTCTTCTCACCTTTACGACGAATATATATGGGAGGACAATGTACTGAGATAAGGTGGAGGTGCCCACGTAGTGGTAGATGACCTTGCCATTGCAGGAGAAGCGGGAAGTGCCATCCTGGAGCATCCCGCTCAGGAGAGTCGCGAATGCCTTCTCGCATATGTTCGTCTTTTCAGACCGACACATATGACAGGTGCCACAATGTGGTAGCCACATTGGGATCACATGATCACCTATGGACGGAATCGAGTGGTGTGAGATTTGCGAATAAGTGACAAACGTCGATGTCTGCTTGATGTATCGTGGGATTTATGGAAGCAATGGGAATTTTGAACACAGTTCACATTTTCGGAGAATCTTCTTCCTGATTCAAAAAGTTTCCTTCTGACGGCTTGGTTTTCTCCGCTGCAGACCATTCTCTTTTGTGGAAGTGACTTGCTGATCGGTAGACAATGCCACATTCATTACTATCACCCGTTATTGAAGGACATGTGAAGAACACCTTGGGGGCGTCCCCAAAGTGTGAAGTCATTGAAAGTGTCAATGGCGAAACCTTTATGGCTAGAAACGAGAAACGCTACAGAATCTGTTGCTATGAGATGCTGCTCTTAAAAAAATTACGATTGCGTAATTTTTCTACTTTTAATTCATTCATTTGAACTAACCTAAAGCAAATATTTTCCACCCATAATTGTTTGCGGAGATATTGATATATTACCCAGCATGACATTGGTGGGTAATTCATCACCAACGCTCTCGACGACCCCGGCGCCCTCGTGACCCAGGATGGTTGGGAACAGGTTACCCGGACCATCGGGGTAAATACTCGACAAAGTCGACAAATCTGTGTGGCACACCCCCGTTGAGTGGATTTTCACCCGCACCTTAAAGACAAAAATGTAAAAACTTGCAGGTCGCAATAAGGTTTACTTCTGCATACGTCCAAGCTGCGACAAAGAATAGAGGCAGTGAAGAATGACCTCGTGTGTCTTGGGAGGTGCAACCTCCACAGTCTCGATGCTTAGGAATTTATTCTGCTCCCATGCCACAGCTGCTAAACACTTGATAACCTGCATTTAAATGTAAGAAAATTATGTCAGACGGGGACTCACATATAGCAATCGCCAAAGGTCTCATGAAACAAATTTATTTCTCAATGAAACTGAGTTCGAAGGCAATTGTGACTCCTACCCCGTGATAAACTGCATTTTGAGGCACTATTCCCTTCGAGGACCATCAATTAAGAGACGATTGAAAGACAAAGAAATAAAACATCATTTATACATTTTGGTGCTTCATCTTGGAAGTGTCCAACTTGCTAAGCGTCCAACTTGTTCTTGAATTTAACAACGTTAACAACGGATTCGCGAAGGATTGAAGAGAAATATGTTCAATATCGATTTCAGACGAGAAGCACCTCATTTACGATTTATTTAGTGTCATCTGACGTTATTCAGGGAAGAAAACGGCAAATAACTGAAATTTCCCATTTGGTCTTTGGTTCTGGCTCATTCACGGACTAAATTTAAACATTGTACAGGACGTTATTTCCATAAGTATTTCACGTATCTTGCGAGGGCCAATCATAAGGTTCCGATGCATTTTTTTTCCGAAATACCTCTTAAGCGTGAGGTACAGCACGAGGATACGATGCCCTTCAAAGCGCTCTTCCTTGGGTATTCACGAAATTTGTATACCACGTCCATGCAGTTAGGCAAAGCTGGGTGGCAGACAATTTTTTATATTATTCCCAATCCATAGTGCACTCTGGGGCACTGTGATTTCGGCGTCCCATTAAAATACCAAAAAAACATTCAGGCGGTCACATAACTGGGGATCTAGAGAGTGACTACTTGATGACAGCACACATCCGACCCACACATCTATCACCGTGGCGACCCACCTCGTGAAGCACAGAATGTTCATCTCCGTACGGAATACTCGCCATTTTTTGGCTATATGTTACTTCTTCCTTTTACTGCATCCGAAGTCTCACATCAAGGGTCGCCGTTTTGATGAAATGGAGGATGTGCAATCGACAGTTACGGCAACACTGAAGTTGGTGGCAAAAAACGGCCTGCATCCTTGTTTCACAGAATTGTACGACCGTGGCTAAAAAAGTATGTTACTACAAGGGGACTATGAGGAACATTGAAGGGCATCATATCCTTGTACTTCACGCTATACAGGTTTTTCCAGAAGTAAGATGCATTATCTAAACTTTTCTGGTAATAACCATATATTATCGGGAGCTTTCAATTCCTTAGAAGCAAAAACATACATGCAGCCAATCCATAGCTTTCATTTGTGAGTCAGCTCTATTTTGTGGACGATATACTAAAAAAGCTAAAAATAAGCATGCAATACTTGATAAATAATTTAATAATTATCATTATTGAGTGAAAATTTTCTATCGGGCATTTGAAGGAATATTTGGTCTAGCAACCATGAAACCATAGTTCGTGACCGGACAAAACCATTTTACCAGAGAAGGAACTGAAAAAGGCAGCGACAGCCAGACTTTCTTGGACAGAGAAAGGCATAGACAATTCCATTCTAAGAGCTTGAGATGCCAATCACCAATATTGGCGCAAACCAAGCATTACGATGCAGCTCCTTCATGAAGACAATTCATTGCCGCGAACTCGACAGAGGGGTACTAAAAGAACAGCTATCCAAATCGTCTTCCAGAGGGTGCTGCCTGTAATGCCTAGTTTGCGTCAATATAGGTGATCGGCATCCCAAGCTCTTTGAATGAGAATGAGAAGTCTGAGCACTAATATAATAATAATAATAATAACGGTCAGAAATCCCACAAAATAGTGATACGGATTATTATTATGATAACGTAGATATTCTGCCATCATCACTCTACCTACAAATTAAATTTTGACTGATTCGTCAAAAAATACCGATTGAGGAGGAAATAGTTCTGACCTGTCCGGCAGTGGAAGCCATTGTGCAGGAACGAGGATGAGCAGAACGCTGAATGGCCAGCAGACAGGAGGTGAATGAACCGACTCATCGAGAGGCGCGCAATCGTGTGTCCCTCGTTTTCCTCTGCGTTTCTTTGGTGGCCTGGGCTTCTGCCAAGTTAGCGGGAGGCGACGGAGGTGCATCCCACTTATCGCAGTTCGGTCCGCTGTAGGCCTCCATACCCTCCACGACGGGGGATGTTCAAGGTCAGGGCCTCTCTCGCGGAATGCGCTAGCGTTCTATATGAATGTCTCCATGCATTTCCATGAATTCCGGGTGAGTCAGGGCCGGCCGAGGAAAAATGTTCCCGAAGTTCGGCTCGTTGTATTCACAGAGTCTCGTCACCACACAAGCTTTGGCTGAAAAAGAAAATCGTGTACCTGAAGGGCTGTTTGTCGCTGGCACCTTTCGGCGCAGAAATTGTATTCTCTACCAGAGAATTTCGCTTTAAATCGAATCGCACTTTTCATATTAATATCTAGGTCAGGAGACAAGTTAGCACCTCTTCGCTTTCTTCAATTCATTCCTATTGCAATATTCCATAGGATCTCAATCCTTTTTGAGAGCATTTCTAGGAACGGAAAGAGGCGTATTTCTTGTCGACAGAAAGCAGAATCTCACTTTTGGAAAATGTAAATTTCATACCGGCATTTATTTGTAGGCCCCCACCACCGGTGAGGTTTCGGCCATGTGGGGCCGAAGGATTCTAGTAATTCTTCCTAGTAAGGAAGAATTACTTCCTTACTAGCAGACCAATTTCCTGCTAGAGGTTTATTTGACCTACTAGCACCCTCTGGCCGCAATCCGGCCTTCTGACCAAGCACGTGCCTCGTATACATTCTTTTCATGGCTCATCAATTAAGAACAGGCTGAGCCAGATATCCGCTACCAAAATTTGCTCTACAGTTCACGATGGAAATCATTTGCATGAAATGGATGCTGAGGCGCACCGTGCTACGCCTTCCAATAAACGCCTTCAAATAAAGGAAATCAGTCGGACGTGCAAAGTAAATATATTTCGTAGGTTTAAAAAAAACGCGGCACAGTACGTGGAAATGAAAAGGAAAGTTAATTATATTATGAACGAAAACATTCCCGACAAATGGATTTGACAATGAAATAAATACTTCTTCATAGACTACATTTTTTGTAACGGTGCCAGCATCAGGTTTTGCCTTGTTTCGGTCCATCGATAACCTGAATCTTCAGCGAATCCTCGGCGCGAGCTCGCGATCAAGATCGATAGGGAACCGACGTCGACAAGGATCGAAAGGTGTGCTGACATCGGATGACGTGTCCGGTGAAACTTTTGCCAGCAAATGAGCGCTGCTACGAAGCGCACCTGTGATCTTCTCAACTTTTAACACATTTGCGATTCATGTTCCTCACGATTATACCACGTAGTAAAGGCCGTTCCCAATGCAGAGAATCAGCATAGGCATTACGATATCTCCAATTTTAAGATCGGGAAGATCGGGTGATGAAGAATTCAACCGAAAAGTTGACCTGTTGATCGGCGTCATCTCCATGATCGTTCATCACACTGTCGATACCGTGATGAGTCAGCATTTTGCCTTGAAATCCTGACGACACGTCCTGGTGGTTCGACGCGTACATGCGCTGCTCTCCGCGTAGCGCCAACAGCCTCACTTTTCTCTGCAGTTAACGCAGCCTTACGCTGCCTCCACTCAGCTCTCCTCTCGGCATTCATATCCTCACGTTCCTCACTGGTCGTTGCAGACCTATCATGCCTCGCTACTTCCATTCTTCGGGCGCGTAGCATCACATCTAAGTTATTTAGCAGCTAAACCTATCCCGCCTAGTCCCGCCGTGGGTTGCTCTTTCAATTGCCGCGGGTTGTTGCATGGGTAAATGCACTTCCAGGCGAATGATGGCATGGGGGTGCTGATGCATTTTGCTTTCCAGGAGTCTCCAAACTGCTTCAGGTGCACTGACATCGAGCATCCAGGAACGTGCTGATCTCTTCCTATACAATTTGCTTCAGGTCTCCCGATTTCACCGGGCTTCATGATTCCAATGTCAGCGCAATCGTTCCCTGTACACAAATTTGAAAATATATGGATGGAAGTACATATCTCCATGTTCTTGTGCGTGCTGTATTTGAGGAGAAGCCAGGGGTTGTACGGAATGACGCATCAGTCCGTTCAATTCTTATTGACCGACTCGGGCTTCTCTCCCGTTGTCTCATCTGCGGTAGCGAGGATGGTCGTTTCACACTTTCCTTATGTCTACGCAACAGCATTTTTTTTTAAAAAGGAAACTCTATATTGCAGGTTCCTTTCTCCATGCAGATAGCAATGGTTTAAAGAGTATCACATGAACCTTGACACATGTTTTTTTCGCACAATTTCATGTAGCCTCCGATGCTCCAGTCAGTCTCTGTCTCAATCAGCTCCAATGGGATGCGTTCTTATTTCCGCCACGACCGCACTCACTGGACAACTTCGGCTTCTCTCTCGCGGGCATTGTGTAGGTCATGAGGAGACCGGTGCAAAAGGGAAGTCCCGCGACCCATTCTGCCTCTTGGTAACTTCCATATCGTTATATATATGAAATACTAATCTGTCTGTCATTGTGTTATTCCTGGAATCTCCTCTTGGACGGATGAACGGATTTTGATAATTGAGGTGTCAATCGAAAGCTCATGACCTGGAGGAGATACATATTGGGTCAAAAGTCCAAGAAGGACGCAGCGAACGAGGTTTACATGGGTTCTCCTGTCTTTCTGCACGTCAGAGGCCTGCACGAGTTGACTTTTCTGAGTTGAAACTGGATCGGTCCGATTGGAATCGTGGCCCGCACCCGACCCGGGACGCGATCGTCGACCGAGCTTTGCTGCTCTGAGCCGCGGATCGTGTTGTGCTGAAATGGCCGGCCCCCAGCCGGCTTAGGTTTCTAAGCTTGAGAACTTCAAGTCTCTCATGACGTCTTTGCCCCGAGGGGGGGGGGGGGGAAGGGACCCTCGCAGACCTGAGCAGAAACGCATTTTCAGGTGTAACTGTTCATAATGAAGGGCATTCTGTGCAAGCAGATAGGGTGGCGAAGCGTGTTTTTGGCATGGGAAGCCGTGCAAGACATT